TTATCAAAATATTTCTTGAAATCTGTGTTTAATGAAATGATTCTTGAACTGATAAAATATAGTCATTTTTTTACGAATAATATATGTGATGCGCCTATTTCATTTCTGAGTTCTGACGTCTTACATTTTCTTTTGAAATATCTTTGCTGGTGTTCATTCTCGAATGTAGAGTGTTACGCAAGAGTCAAAAGGACTAAAAAAGCAAAGATTTAGACAAACATCCCACGCCGATATGTATACTTGTCTCTTGACTTCAATCTTGAACGATCAAAGAAAAAAATGGGTTACCTCCCCTGTAGTCTGGGCCGTTTTATGGAACCATTTTAAATGATTTATTTACCTTATCATATTCTTTAATGTTCTAATTTACAGCACATATGTAAACAATAGTTTTTCAAAGGGATTTTATTTCGTAAATGATCTGTCATTATTTAGTTCCGCTATTCTGTCTTTTTTAACGAGTCTGTTACGGCTGTTCCAGACATTGTCAAAATTTGGACAAGTGCTTTTATCGAGCTGTCACTATCAATGATTATTATAATTTTATAATGTAAAGTCTACACCAAATACATGTATACGTCTATACATTCTTGAAATTCTGAAATTCTTTATCAATTGACAATCAAAGTGTACACCAAAAACATGTATATATATAAACTCATTGTTGAAGGCCGTACGGTGACCTATAGTTGTTAATTTTTGTGTCATTTGGTCTCTTGGGGAGAGTTGTCTTATTGGCAAGCATACCACATCTTCTTATTTTTATATTCTATTCTAAACATTCTTAAAATTCTGAAATTCTGTATCAGTTGATGACCACATGACACGCCAAATAAAGAAGTTTGCGCACCGTAAATCTGCAATCTCTCATTCAGCAAGATGCACTTTCAATTAAACTCCATTTGATTAATGGCGTATTTAAATGAAATAAATATGAATTAACGAGAAATTGAGATTTACTTTTCGTGCCAAAATCGCACGGAGATTGTTCGCAGAGTTGTAATAAATTATCAACACCTATTCCCACTGTCATTCTTAAGCGCTAAACATGCAATCGCGTCGAGATTTTGTAGAGCACTTGATCTTAAGGAAGAGGGGATATATTAGTTAACGACAACATAAAACAATCCTTCCAGGACTGTTCAAATAAAATTTGATCTTTAAAAGAATGGAAAATCAATTTTAATGACAAAATCATTGATTCAAGTTTTTAAAAATGGAAACAAGGTTTGAGTGATGGCCGTTTAGGCCACGAAGGTCGTCTCCACTTTTATTTGATTTTAACAGAAAAGTATATTTGGAATGTCTGCTGATTAAAAAATTGCTTGCACGCAACAAGTTAATCATCTTAGAAATATGCGTGTAACAAAAGCATATACCTTAAAATTAAACGTGACATAGATGTTGGTTAAACGGTTAACATTGTTGCATGGAATGTAGATATATGAATTTTACATTGTGATTGACTGAAATTGATTAATTTTTGAAAGATGGACATATCTTATTATAAAATTTATTATACTTTATCATGGGATCTATGTATATGACAGATTTTCAAACAGAAACTTTGATAACTAGTTTATATAAGAAATTTTGGATTGTACCAGAAAATGCGGCAAATTTTCTACCTGTCTGTGGGTAAGTTGCAAGAGGAGTAGTATACAAAAAAACTTGACCGTACGAAAATTGTATCTAATTTTTTTTATTTTGTCATATAATTTTGTTTCCATTAACATTATTGGTAAAATCTTAATTTTCAAAGTGACTATGAATATTTTTATGATATTAAACAAATATTCCATTACTTAGAGATATTAGATCAGCTTACATGTAAACACTGCAACTATTTTTTTATGTCAAATATTTTTTAGATTAAATTTCTTTTTTTGAACTAAGGACTTTGAAAATGAAATGAATCTTTTTGACTTAGTGTAATATTTATCAGCAGATTTTAGTTGTAGTCCTCTTTTTGATAAGTCAGTAATCAAATCAATTCACCAATTTCAATTTATGTTTTTAATTCAATTAAAAGGAGATGCGGTATGATTGCCAATGAGACAACTATCAACCAAAAGAACAAAGAACTTGAGAATGTGAACAGCCACAGGTCACCTTACGGCCTTCAATAATGAGGAAAACCAATACCGTTTTTTAATAGGCTAAAAAAAGGGTCATGGGATGACACAATGTGAAACAATTACACAGAGAAACCCAATCGGCCTGATTTATGCTAAAACAATAAACGGAAAACAGATATAGCCGAAAGCAACCAATGACAACCACCGGATTTCATATTTTTCTCTTGGGAGCGGCTCATAGAGAATTTGGCGGGGCTTAACATAGTTGTAAGCGCTCAACCCTTCCCATAAGATCGGACAGATGCGTAACTGTCCATTTGCACCTGTCCTAAGTCAGGAACCTGATGTTCAGTGGATGTCGTTTGTTGATGTGGTTCATAAGTGTTTCTCATTTCTCGTTTTTTATATAGATTAGACTGTTGGTTTTCCTGTTTGAATGGTTTTACACTAGTCATTTTTGGGGCCCTTTATAGCTTGCTGTTCGGCGTGAGCCAAGGCTCCGTGTTGAAGGCCGTACTTTGACCTATAATGGTTTACTTTTACAAATTGTGACTTGGATGGAGAGTTGTCTCATTGGCACTCATGCCACATTTTCTTATATCTATCTACTAACAACTGAGCACACTATTAAAATATGTTGAAAGTCGAAGATTCATCAGTTCGGTACTATGCAAACACACAAAAACAAAACGAATCAAAATGACACGACACAAAATACCGATTTAAGAGGCTTACAGTTACTGAACAATATTTCCAAGCCCAACTTTAATTGAAAAAAAAAACATGTTTATCAGGCTGAAACTTCGGATAATTCAAAGATCAATTTCAACAAATAAATAGACCATGCTAACCCAGGTTTATATCAATCAGTAAATCTTCAACGGAAAAAGAGTAATCAGCATGCAGTATTGTAAAAACAATTTACCTCAAGTGTGCAATGCTAAAATTATATAAGAATCGACTGGAAAGGGGACCACAATTGTAAAAAAAACTAGATAGCAATATATATAATCTGTTGACCTGTGTATATATTAAACTATGGAAATAAAATGAATGTTATAGGCACTGTTCGAATATCTTACTATAACGTAAAATTAATAAGTTTATTTAAAGAACCAATAAGTGTGTTCGGACCGTATTTCTATTTACGAAATTATAAACTACACAACATAAAAATTAGGATGTGATATCCTTTTAGTAGTAAATTTAAGGTAACACCAAATTTCCTAACAGAGAATTTAGTGAAATCTCATACGTAATCATTTATCAGTTTTGATATTGTTTCTGTAACTCTGGACGTCCCATAGAAGAGAATGAGAAAGCGTGTGGAGCGGAGCGGAACCGGAATGCATGGGAGTTTAGGTTTTTATTTTGTAACGTTTAAAACGGCATTAGATTTTAAAGCTCGATTTAAAATAATGATTTCTATTGATTTGACTTATTCAGTTATCTCGTTGAAAGATTATAATTCATTGATTATTCATTACAAAGTTATTTATTACCTACAAAAACAGTTTATTTTTAATTCTTTATTAAAAATTAAAAGAACCACTTTAGCTATTATCAATTAAATGTTCTTCAATCATTTAAGTCGCAGATATGTATATATACGCAATGGGTATGACAAAAAGTTCCCATGGATTGAAAATAAAAAATGGTATTCGATTGAAGTTTGTAATTTTCTCACCGAGTTATAACTGCACAACTTAAGCTGTATCGTCCTTGATTGTATTGTGCTCTTTTGTGTGTGTTTTTTTTTCATTCCACAAAACAAATAAAGAGAATGCTTCGGTGTAGCAATAAGAAATTGAAAAAAAAATAAGATTATAAAACATAACTTTAAGCAGTCGTAAAATTGTCGATATCCTACACACTTCCACTGTGACCTTGTCCTTACGATGAACCGGGGCGTCATCAGTTTTTTTATGGGTTCGCGTGTTGCTCACGATTTTTTGTTTTATGTGTCCGGCTTTTTATGGACTTTTATATTTTCGTCGTTTTTCTTTTGAAGCTGTTTGTAATCGACCTCTCGTATTTGATTGTCCACAACTTTTTGTTATCCCCAACAATGCCACATTCTATAACTTACACACAAGCACTCAAATAAGCGAAATAAATTTAAACTAAATTCCTATGGCTTGAATTCTTATCTTTACCAAAATGTCTCTCATTAAAGACCCATTTCAAGCATACATTTGTAAATTGCAATACACATTTTAACATAACAATATAGTCTTCTTGAATTTATACAACCTTTGTGATCAATCAAGCTCGAGTCATTAACTTGCATTATCATATAATACTAAATTTCAAAACCTTAATTCACCTTATTGTTCCGAAACTTTTACATACATTTAAAGATCAATTTGTAAATAACAGAAATAAATATGACATTCTTACAAACAATTCAGTTGTCATACAGAAATCAGATAAAACCATTATACACATGTATCTCCCCTTTTAAAATATAACACTTTTGCTTGATTTGATTTTAGTTTAAAGTCGAATTCTTTTCCCTTAGAAAGGGTTACTTTGGGTGATATAAAGGTTTACACTGTATATGAACATACATAATATAAGCTATTAGATAAGTCAATGGCTTAGGCATTAATATGTAATGCGATCAACATTGGCAAACAAAAGAACAGTTAGCGTGAAAAATATAGGACTTCAATAAATCGACAGAGAAAGATTAGCATAAACAATAAACAGAAGAGATTGTGCATTTTTATTAGATTTTTTTGTTGATCTGTCTTATTGCATTATATATTAGAAAGTAATGTCGAAATTGCAGCCGCAGGTCTAAAAATAAACTGAAGAAACAATGCCACCTGCAAACATTGAAAGTGAATGCAAAATTGCAGGGAAAAATAAATTCACTAATTTTAGGGAATTAATTCTTTTACGTTTGCTTAAACGCAGGACTTCCAAAAACAACGCTGCAGTTTCTAAGAAATCAGAATCGCAGACACAGGAAAGTGATAACAATTCCCACATAAACATCCCTACAGAAGAAACGCGGACCTCGAAGAAAGCTTTTGGTGTCCGGGAATGTGATAAAAATGGAAATAATATCAAAGGCAATGTTGTGAACAAAAATTGTGAAACTGAAACAAAGGAAAATATTGTAATAGATATCGAAACCCCTCAACAGAACGGCACAAGAAGAAGACAATTAACTGAAGAAGAGATGGTCCGTTTGGAAAGTTTTTCAAGGCTTGATCCAGTAAGTAAACATGTAAATCTTCCATACTATTTAATTACAAGTATGACATTTGAAATTGGAACAAGACAACACCTTATAAACACAACAATAAAGAAAAGAAAACTACTATAATTATTCGTTGATTCATTGGTGCTTGCTTAACATCCAGTGGCAAATATTTCATGCATATATTTCGTGAGACTCACTTCATGAGGCATGGATATAACGCCCGCGTTAATAAATATTAAATTCAGTCTGGTTATTTCACAGAAAACTGGGTTCATTGATGTCACTTAACAAATGACGTTGTTGTTGGACTGCCTGATTCGCTGCTTTTAATATTCTAATTAAAATTCCATTATTAATATATTGTTTGTATGAGATACTATTGAAAACGTTTAGGGAGAATAAGAAATAAGTTTGGTAAAAAAAATATAACATATTTATAAGCTCACATACCATGACAGTTTGACCTTTTGCGTTTCTAGAACCTATATGCTCAGTTTATGGACATTGCTCCTACGATGCTTGCACAGCATTTCCCCCTTCATATCAAATTTTAAACAAAATGCAATCATGGCAACAAAGTCAAATAACGTAAATATTTTATTTTTTTTCATTTCATTTCGCTACAAATTCAAAATTAAAAAGCATATATTATTAAACGAACAAACTTGTATATTCACTAAGCCTATTAATAGTTAACACAGGAATAAACTATTTGCCTTACAAATATAAAAAAAAAATGGTTTTGAAGTCAGAGAATCCTTAACTACATTATTTGGAATTGATGGCAATGAAAAAGATATGCAAATCAGTTGAATTCATTTCGGCGAAAAAGATAAAGTCAAAGCTAAAATACACGAAAAAGATACATTCAGCTCTTGTACTTAAAAGTGAATATTATACTTCATGTATCTACATACAAATTTAGGAATTAAAATACCAAAGCGAAGATTGTCGACAAAAGACTACTGCTTAACATAATACAAATAAGTAGAAGAAATCGTCTAATCGTTAAAATCTCCTTACGACAAATTAAAAATCTATATGCTGAGTAAATATTTATATTTATAAGTTCAGTTACAGAACAAATTCATTAACAACGACTAGCAGTTACCCACAACTGATGCTGGTTTCCAGTTTAAAGTTATAGGTTAACTGGTTTTTATTTTATTTTAGTCGACGCTGCGTGTGATTGGATGGTCATCCGGTGCGGCAGATTCCATGACAAATACTCCAGACTTAGCAGAAACACAAGACGGTAAGTGTATGATATTTAGTTTTTTGTTGGAAATTTTGTCTCCTAGTTCTCGTTTTGATTCACAATTTATGAGGAAACAGAGGCTGTGCTGCAAGGATCAAGGCCAGGTTAGTCTTTTCTTCTACTGTAACAGGCTAATCCAATTCATTTGAACTCTGGTAGATATTTGTCTCATTGGCAATCATACCACTTCTCCTTCTTTTTTTATGAACTATACTTTTCCTAATTCAAATCATAATTTGTAACATTGAATACCGTTGACAGCCAAACCCATAGTTTGATAAACCTTTACGCGTGTGATGATGGTTCAAATTCCGTGTCCTTTTAATTTTCACCGCATTTCAAGTTTTGAAAATCTGTAAAAAGTGTACAAAAGTTACTTATTGCCTAATTTGTACTTACATGATCGACAAGACGTGTGCCAGGTGTGGAAGCAGGATCCGCCTACCCTTCCCTTTAAGGCATATGAGATCACACACGGTTTTTGGGAGGTTTCATGTTGCTTAGTCTTTGATTTTCTTTGTTGTGTTTTGAAGACGTGTTTTGTCTTTTCGTCGTTTTGGGTTTTTTTTTTGCCATGGCGTTGTCAGTTTGTCTTCGACATATAAATATCTCATTGTATCGTTCGCTCTTTATACGGAAGCATAAAAATCCATTGCTATTGCAAGCGAATACATTTTTTAAAACATTTTCTAACATATATGTTAACTAAATGCAATGTCTTGATTGTGCAATCAGTGTTAATTTGTCAAACATGATTTGTGCTTTTAAAAGCAGTTATCCCAAAAGAAAAGAAAAGAGCAAGCATATTGGGCTGTCAAGATATCAATGAGAAAAATAATTAGTATTCTATATCATTATCATTTGAATGTCACAAACAGTCGGATACATATTTCCTAGATGCCTGACAATATTTAACCAAATTTGACCTCTTACTTAGAAATAATTGTTGTCGATTGTGGAGCAGAACATGCTTACCCTTCAAAGGCGCATGACATCACTTCCGTTTTCTGTTGGGGGTTCTTGTTTTTTTCAATACACATGGTGACTTCTGATCTGCATTGTTCGTATATCGAACTTCTGTTTTTGGTTTGGTATTTTATGAGACAACTATCTACCAGAGACCAAATGACGTAGAAGTAAGCAACTATAGGTCACCTCACGGCATTTTACAATGATAAAAACCCATACCGTATAAATGACCACTTATATTCAAAATTCAAAAAGTCAGGACTATGATAGTAAGTCGCACATTGTTCCAATGAGGACAGTGTAAAAAATGTAACCCCAAAGGCCAGTATTAATCACAGGCACTAGTCTGTGAAAAAAAATTACCAACATACTTTTTACAATAACATTAAAGTATATTGGTATTTTTCATAGACAAGATCAGTGCCCGTGGTATAAATGTAAGCTCGCTCTTTGGACTATAGCTTGTAATTTAGCAAATTACTTATTTCCTTTTATACACTTATTTTTTGCGGTAAGTTTTCATTATAAAATTATGAGATGTGGTATGATTGCTAATGAGACAACTTTTCAACAGGCTAAATGAAGTTGATTTAAGCAACTATGAGCAAAACCCAAACATGGTACATATATCTGTTTCAATGTTTACTTCCATACAAACATGGACGCTGTCTTGATCTGATCTATGTTTTAATAAGCACTGTAAACTATTATGTTGAATATGAAGACGACAATCAAACTTTGTTTTTTTTTAGATTATCCAAAGCTGTAGCTTCTTTGGATGTTGTCATGATACTAGCTTCTCCTTTTTGTGTTTTCTTTTAAAAGCATGCTAGCAACTTAACTTAATCATAACCACTTCCTAAACATGATACAAAGTTTACAATCTACGAGGACGAACTTATCATGCCTTATTAATTTTAAAGTTGAATCGAGCTTAAGAAGACACAATTAATATGCCAACCACGCTTACATGTAAAAGATACATTCTATTGAGGATTTTAATCAGTGAGGTCCCATTAATATATATTTCTAATTTATATACTCTGATCCTGTTCACATGATTTAATATATACCTGCCTGCGATGTAGACGAAAATAAGGTTTATAAATGATGAATGATTTGTACTTTTCAGATGAAAATATGTGCAAACTTACAAAGGTAAGTTGTTTAACTATTTATATTATAAAATGGAATATATTTTTACAAGTTATTAGATCAATTTCAATCAATCACTGCCTTATTAATGTACAAGATATTCAAATGAAATACATGTATCTGTAATCCAGGCACATGTACTTTCTCTATTATAATCAATTTTAAATATGATATTTATTTCAATTTCGAAGTCTATGCAGTTATACAATCTCTTGGGCCATGCTTTTGAAATTTACCTGACAGATAATTATTATGTATTATGAATATTAAATATAATGGTACTATAAGTAATGAAGTAAGAAAAAAGTTTCACCTTCTAATGGGTCTGGTTATTGGGTCTGAAAACTATTTTCACATTGTTGTATACGTACCAAGAAGCTATATGTATTTGACAATGAAAGAGAATTGTCCAAAAGTCAAGCCCACAACGGAAACAGCAATTATTATAAGCTTTACACAACCGAAGCCTTCTTTAGATGGCTTATCAAAATTTTACTTATCAAATTAAAAGGTCTAAATTGAGTTTAAATTTAACTGACGATCATCATTATATAAATAAGGCGAATTCTTGTAATTACCATTGAGACAACCATCATCCAGTGTTGTAATGACGTAGGTGTAGGTCATAGGACGGTATTCAACAATGAGCGAAACCCATAACGTAAAGTCTGCTATAGTTGTTAACTTCTGTCATTTGGTCTCTGGTAGAGAGAGAGAGAGAGAGAGAGAGAGAGAGAGAGAGAGAGTTGTCTTATTGGAAATTATACCATCTTTATTTTATATGAAACGCCGTGACATGACAAAATGTTATATAATTAAAACTAGAAGATTGGTGATAAAACAACTAACGAATACAAATATGACAGACAGCAACCAACGATGACCTTTGCTTTAAGATCAAGTATACCGTGTTCGTGAATCACGCAGTTCAATGTATATAACATTTTAAAACACTGTCATGCGAGATCGAAAATTTGTTTAGTGCTATGATATCGTCTATCGTGGTACGCTTCAAAGATTTATAACTGTAAAAACCAGCCTCTAATTATTGCTACATACATGTACGTTGCTATAAATATGACATTATTTGTATGTCTGTTGACCTTGATTAAATAAAAATAAACTGTACAAACTGTTTTACTCTTAATTAAAAGAAATAAATCTACAGGAGACCAATAAGACAAAAGAAAGAGTTTAGCTCCCACTTTTTATAACTTTAATATATCTTTAAACGATAAACTGAATATACTGGGTACAGTGTACACATAACTGGGCTTCAAAGGATATTTTCGCAACCAAAGGTTCTGGAAAAATATTCAAAAATAAAAAAAACGGAACAAGCCAACTCAAACCGTCTTCAGTCAACTCTTCCTGAGGCAATTGCGGTCCTAGTTTCAGTCCATTCTGAGCAATATTTAAAATGGAAATTGTATAATAAATATATCATATTTTTTCAAAATTGAATAAAATTTTTGAATTGTAACGGTAATACATTTATTTCCTTTAAGGTCTTGTGCATTTTGGCATTATATTAACGACCTTTTTTTATATTTTATATGAAGTGTTCAAAGGTTCAACGAGCTCCAGTATTTCGTTGTCATATTTTATGTACTAGGGCAGCTATGCATATTGAAAATTGATCAACCATTGTTCTTTTATTGATAATAATACCAAACATGCTTAATATGGAACTGACAAGGTATAAATGGAATTTTGCACTGATAGTCATGGATTTACCTGTGTTTTATTTTATCAAAACAAATATTAGACTTCAATAACATTGATCTTTTAATCTTTGTCATGTATTTTAATTTACATTATTCAACACCCCTTTAACACTCAGATGTTTTAAACAGTCTAATTATTTAAAAGTTAAACAGACCAAAACCAATATACATGTAAATTATTTGGCTTTTTATAATCCCATTTAGTGGCAATGCATTAATGCAAATAAAACGCTGCGAAAGCACTTAGTAAATATTTCACATAAACAGAGGACATACTTTTGTTTTACCTAGAGACGGATGTATCCTAAATTTATATGTACCTATGAAGAAAGTTTAAATGTTGTGAATTGACAACGGATGTTTATACAAACTATAAATTTAAACAACAATTTAAAAGTTTTAACTTCTTTGATAAGCAGTCAATGGTATTTTAAGTTTTGAATTTACGAATTCATTATTTTGGTAATGAAGGATTTTATCTATTTGACTGATTTTGAGCAGGTGGAATTTAGGAGACTGCAGGACCAAGTCCGAGATGTTAGTTTCAACCTGCGAAATCGATTTCGGACGTCTGCATATCAGGTAAGATTTCTTGCTTATTTATTTTCTGTTCGTTTTTATATCAATGTTCTTTACTTTTACTTGTTTAGCATCGAGTTAAGTTAACCTTATATATGGGAAGAATTGTTCGCCTACCAAATAAATGAATTCATTAAATTTCAGGTCACGCACGGTTCATTCATTTAAATACATGTCAAGGTTCCTTTTAAATGGAAAATGTAACAAGATTAACTTCAGAAATGAATATTCGTGAGAATATATATTGTTTAAATTATGTAAACATATACACGTGGACTTCACAGTGTGTTAATTAATCTATACCTCCGTTGCTATGCAAACAACCAAAATGGCGGTCTATAATTTGTCCGCGAACACAATGTACAGGTTATAATATTGTAGATAATAGACAAATCACTATTGTTAAGGGGGATTTAAATATATGCTGGCAATATAATGTTTAACAATCATTGACACATTTTAATAACCCAATATTAAATTCAAATAAACAAATATGTGACGAAGGTGAAAATAGTTCAGAGGCACTTCCGGGTTAACATGATGAAAAGGCACTTTTTGGAACGCGAACTGAGATCATATATCCAATAACTAGACTAGATTATAATCTTTAATTAAAATGAATTTGAGACAGAAGCCTTAAGATGCAATTAAACATAGAAAAAGAGGACTAATGTGGACAAACTACATAACGTGTGCTTTTAACAATAGAAAAGTTAAAATTAACCAAAATCCGACCACCTTTTTAGTATATTAGTACATGTTGCAAGAAAACGAGAAAACTAAATATCTTATCTGCCCATCAACCATAAGTAGACGGAGCATGGTCCTGTATTAAACGGGCATTATAGCTTATGACAAGTAACTTTTCGTTTATATTGTATATGCATTAGATTTGTGTTTGCTCTCTAACTAGTATTGTTACCGTTGTTTTTCTCTGTTTATGTTAATTTGTTCACTGGCATTCCTGTGTGATATACTTGGCAATGAAGTATTTGTGTCGATATTGATTCTTTCTCGAATTAAATGGGACGCATTTTGGATTACTTCAGCGACTCCCTTTAATCTTGTTGCAAATCCTGGCTAGGAAATAAAGCTGAAAAATGATATTTTATAAAACGTATGGATCTGGTTGACTATAGTAGTATACAATTTGAAAACATCTTTATATATACAAAATCGTCTACTAATAATATCAAGACCGAAAAACTAATTGAATACTCGCGGAAAATGTTTTTGTTTTGTTTATATACCAGCTGACAGAGCAGCCAACAACGTTTTCGATATTTGGCATAAGTACTATATATGATCTACCCTAGCGATATACAGTAAAACAAACTGAGTACCTATAACTTCTAACAGTCACGTGTTAATATAATTAATAAAGCTTTATGACCGCATGTTGACCTTTCAATGTACCCTTTTACATTGAGCTGGTGTCCCTCAACTCTACATTATCCCTTTTATTCATGATAGTCTATATTTCCAGTTCTAAATGGGTTCGAGTCTGGAATAGACTTGGTCAAATTTAACAGAAACTACTAAGATATGTCCCCAACATCGTAATATTGAAAGGACAATTCTCAAAACACCAAGCCACTAAGATATAAGAAAAAAAAACAATCACTGACAAAATATTGACCTTAAACAGGCTCATTCCCATGTGATGGGGTTAAGTTATAGGTCGTTTTATTCAAACTTCCACATTTAATCCCCACCCAGGAACTATATTTAAAGGGACACAGAAGATTATGTAGTTAAGAAAAAAGCGCGCTCCTCGTAATGCAATATCAGTATTAATGAGTACAAGATCAGAGGAACAATTCAATTATAACAAATAATACCATATCAAAAATACTTTTAATTTTAGTTCTTTGTTAGTGTTATGCCTATTGATTAGCGCTGACTATAAATGTCCTATTTTTGGACATCCAGTTTTATTGTGATTTAGCTTGAGTGCACAAAGAATAGATATACAAAACATGCAAATCTTGGTAGCTGCATACTGCTGCTTGATACGTATGGAATGTTTGCGTACAATATTCAACTATAAAATCATTAATATAAATGTTTTATTCAGTATACGCATGATTAGGCCAAAAAAAAAAAAAAAAAGAGATTCTTAACCTACCATATTTTGCATGTCTCGAAATGCCTACCCTAAAGTTTTTATTTACACTTTTATTATGACAAATTTTGAGGATCGTGGTATACTGAAAAATGAAAAGTTGAGCAAAATATAAACAAATCCTACCCACCTATTTACCATATTTTTCTAACAAAGAAAACCATAAATATACTATTACATATATATTTTTGTTTGACCTTAGATAGTTTGAAAACGTTTTCAATATAATTTTATTGAGTAGGCGCTGGAAAATTGGATTAATTTGTATATATGTACGTTTAACGCAATTTCTTTTTATTTGAAATTCTACGTTGCGATTGAAGGAAAAATAATATGATAAATAAATTTCAACTAAAGTTTTCCAGAAGGTTCCGCAGTTCTGCAGTTCCTTGCTTTCATAACTATAATATAATTCGTTCTTGTAATTTTAACCAGAAAACTTGAAAGGGTTTTCCTATAATTTTTATGGAGTTAAAACTTACTACACTGCTGAGATAGGGAATACATTCTGAAAGCATGCATGCTATCCCTAGTTCTGTTGCGCTCTGCACAAGGACGAGCCTTGTAGACCTCACTAAAAGGGATTTCTTGTACATTTACTAGCGAGTTGAATTGCTTCACTGCTGAGTAAACAAAAACCATTCAAACAAGTAAAGAATTGAAATATCAATGACCACATTTAACACTTTTACAATAATACATATGAAGTTAATTATTTTTGTTTGATCTGAAATTATTTTCTATACCAAAGATTTAATCTCGCCATTTACCCAACACAATGAAGGAGTTAAGGCATTGGCGGGAATTTAACGTTTTCTCAACATACCATAATATCTTAATGGGATAAAACTTAAAATTAATCTGATGTTTTAAAAAATTTCAAGTGTACAATCTTGAGATAACCTTAGTGTGTACTGATACATTCCACTTGGACTTTTATCTTTGTTGAACACGAATCATAAATAAAATTCACATATCAATGACATGGGAACTAAATTAAAAAGGAAGAAGCTTAAATCAATGCGTTTCAAGAAGGTAAGATTTATATGATCATAGGTATGCCTGTACGGTCACAAGGACAAAATCTTATCTGTGAATGTTCTGTACTAATTTCATAAATTGTTTAATCATTACAAAAAAATACTATTGTGGTCTTCGACAGGTTTTTGGTTGCTCTTTTATTTTTGCTATTCTATGTCACATGTTCAATAGCTGCTATACAATAGATTCTTGCATATGATTTAAACATCAACCGAACAAGGCCTGAGCAATACCTTATAATGCGCTCGCTGTCGAGAAGTTCAAGAAACAACATTGTTGACAAAAGTTGTTATAATCGTTATTTGTAGAGGAACATTTTTTAATAACCTAATATCAATGATTCGTGGTTATTGTTGCCTTTAGGTTTTGCGTAGCGTAACAAGTGGTCATTCGTTACCGACGTGTAGAACAGAAGAAACGGAAAAAAAATATAACAAAATTCGAGCGATGTAGTCCCTATAAAAAGCCCTTATCATTAAGCTCTAATTTCAAAAGTTCTAAAGCAGGTCGAGTATTGATTAATATCATAAGCAAATAAAATTTTAAAGCATGAAGTAGTATATTTAAATGAAATTGTGCCAATCATGAAGCAATAAAAATTGTAAAACATAATTTCAACCCCGTCATTTTGCGTCCCTAACTGCATGTCGGGAACAATTGAAACTGCTTATATTTGATAAAATTCAAATATTTTAATAAAACTTCAATATGATGACTAAAGAGTTTGATATATGTCAATGAGACAGCAACCGAAAAAAATGAAAACCAAAAAGACAGCTAGAAGTTAACAATCCCCACCCCCCCCCCCCCCCCCCCCCCCACCCCCGAAACAAAGTACTTAATCAGAGCTTATACTGAATTTCCTGGTAAAACATGGGCAGCCATAATTATAAACTTCAAATTAAAAAACACAGACTAACATTAACTCAAATTAAATAACAGATTAGACGTAATTCTTGTATACAGCTTGTCGCCTTCTTGTAAATTTAATCGGATTAATTTGTAAATAAAATATAACAATCAAAGTTTAGAGAAGAAAAATTAAATTTGGGGTCCCAGTTATAACAAAAGAAGAATATTTCATTTTAGAAACTAAATTAGATTTATTATTAATCATACACATTCATGTGAAAATTCGTATCTTGTTGAAGTTGATCAACATTTTAGAACTTTATTTTGTAGAACTTTTTGGAATTTTCAAAACAGGCTATACTGTTGCCTGATATTTTACAGAATAAGATGTCTATTCCAGTCCTTTATATATCACTTACTTTGTGTGTATATGTATAGGCCAAGCAATGTTTATTTTTAGTTTTGTTTGATATTTGTATGTGTATGTCTTTGTTCTGTGTATTGAACTGTCCTTTATATATATCTGTGTTCTGTGTATTGAACTGTCCTATATATATATGATATATGAAATGTGCATTTCTCTTTTACTTGTCTTTCGAGTTGTCTATAATGTTTGAAAATGCGAAGTAAGCACATGTATTAGTTTTTTGTTTTGATTTGTCTTTGCTATTTGAAAGTGTGTACTGTGTTTCGAGGTATATCGGTATTTTTTACTTGTTCCTTGAACATAGTCGTTTTTTTTAGCTCTAGTAGACAATGCAGACAGATTCGACAAGAAAATAAAGTAGAAAAAGGGGGAAAAAGCCAGATTTTTATTCAGTTATAAATTATGGTGTATATCGTTTAAATGTTCGAACTGTGGTAAGGTTTTTCCCTAATGCTTCCAGAGTCTGAAAATACAAAAACAAATAGAAAAATGCATAAAAATGTACATGAACACATAAATTGTCTCGTAAAACGTGATTGATTTATATTTTCTTTATATAAAATATTTATTTCTATAGATATAGTCAGAAAAACATTATGTAAATCTGGGGAAAATTTTTTTTTTCTAAATTGAATAGATTTATTATAAAATTAATTTTAATAAGCGCTAAAATAGGTTGCCATGATATTTCGTCCAAGTTAGAAGCACGTCACTTTGATAACATTTGAGCCCAGTAAATACAGCACTAGTATCAAATCGAAGAAGGTTACAACATATTTTTTTAATTTCCACACATAAAATGCTAACAATATTGTTCATAAGCATATGTAAAGTCTTACAATTGTCATAGTGTCGTCATCAACACGTGACCGTGTTATTTTCGATTCCACTTCGCCCGGTTTAAAACCTTTTTGGTAATGTACTAGATCATCTCCTTCCACGGCAAACGTTGACTGAAAAATATCAAAACAAAAATCGTAGTTTCTGTTTAAAAATTTAATGGGGTATCGAAGAAGAACGTTTTTCACGTGTGCTTTGTTTTACATCAAAAGCACGGAAATTGTGCTGATTTATATTTTCATACCCCTCTTTTTTTGATTTTTTAAATTCAGCAAGAACAGCGGTACAAGGAAATAGTAAATATATATTGTTTTTTTTTTGGCTATGTTTGAGAGTGCTATGGCTTTGCATGGTCATCTGGTTTCAGCTTATGAATCAAAAGTGGCACTTAAAATCATACTTTAGCAACATTTGAAGTGTCTTAAATGTACCATTTTGTTTAATTTATTCATCATAATTTCATACAACAGATGAATACCTTTGAGAGTAATAGATAAATGAGTTCATCAAAATGTAATAAACAGACATGTTTCATACATGTTTTACTGTTTTACGATCATAGTTTTATTTATTCTTATTATACTGAACAGTTTATGAGATGCTAATCTGTTTGTTTGTATATAATATATACAATATATGTAAGTAAATTCGACAACTACTAGAAATGTGACCATGGGAAACGATGAATTTTCTCACATTACTTAAGCCAATACCGTCAAACGCTAATTTTTGGGTCCAAAATTGTCAAACATTGAGCATTTTGAGAGACATTTCACATTTACTACTTTATTACTTATAAACGATTTATAAAACAAAATGTTATTAAAGATCATAATACCCATTTGACATTTTCTTTCAAAAACTTGACCGCCTTGAAGAAATTAAAAATCAAAACTTTACTACGTGTAGTACTTTGTACTAACAAAAATATTGTTAGATTAATCTATTAATCATATAGCGAAGCATTGGGAGTTAAATTCAAAACCACTGAAGATCGCAGACACATTTTAAAGAGGAATTCTGCTGTAAACAGTTTGGCGAGTATCTTTTATTCCTAAACTTCATTCGTAATATTAAGATATATGAAAATTGTACGAACGCTGAGAGCTTAATTTATATATAAACGATTAAGTTAGGAAAGGTCTGTTACAAATCATGTTATTAGTGACCACTGAGCTGGGCTAGCTTTTAAATTTTGTTTTCGATATGTTCTCTTTTTACTTTTCCAATTGTTTCGTTTAGCATTAATATCAAAGGGTAGAGATGTCACACAATTTCTCCTGTATTAAAACTGTCTAATGCGAGTTACTGTACTTTTTCCATTCCTAAATGCATATTTGATCATTATTTTCACCGGCAGCTGTAAAGTTTCATTCGGTTTTTCCACAACATTAGCTTAACGATTCATGTCGTATTTCTAATTTGTTGTACGTCCGCTAATTCGTGTGTTTTCTTTTTTAACTGTTTTCAGGTTCTCTTTTATGCTAACCTTGCAAAATTGGTCTTTGTTTAATATTGAGGCTCGCGTACGGTGACTTGCAGATTTTCAATATCTTAAGTTGTGTATTGGCCTTCTTGTATAGTTGTTTCATTTACATTCATACCCCGTTTCCTGTTGCATTTGTTTTTTTTTTCGTTATGAGCTGATTTTTCTATGGTTGTTTTCTCCTTTTTACTTATTTTGTGCAATGGTTATTTTTTTTAGGTATTCTTTGCTTTGAGTTTTCTTGCATTGGCGGATTCAGGGGTGGGACGTAGAGGGTATATGCCCTCCCCTTTGATCGGAATAAATATATTTTTTGGCCAAAAATTAGCAACATATTTTTTCGCCTCGCTTCAATGGGCGGTATATATGGTTTATATTCCGTTTTGTGGAATACCGCCCTCCTTTCAATATTCCTTGATCCGGCCCTGTCTTTGTCTACTGTCAATTGTGGGTTTCGTTTTGTTGTCTCATAACTCATTACAATATACGTTACATATCTCGAAACATTTATGTTTAATCAAAGCTTTATTCAAGTTCATTGCAGTACAGAGACACATAAATTGCATCAGAATAAAACACATTTTATATTCCCTTTCAAATATTGACAAAAAAATATATGAAGCAGTATTAAAACCAATCGATTAACTTTCTCAAAGTTGATTCCTCAAAAAGATCTTTGTCGAATGATAAATCAAACATACCGTTTAAACAACGTGCGAAGATATCGAAATATTGTTTGATTTAGATTAGGGCGAGATAATGGAAACTTGAAAATGTTGATACAATGAGTTTGCTTGTATTATATATTATCCATAAAAACGATCTTGTTTCCTTCGGGACTTTAAAGTATAACATTTAAATATATCAAGATATAACGATTTAAGATAATGTCATTTAAAGTTTTGTGATATGAATTGGCATTTATCTGTACTAGATTTGAAAATAAGGTCAGAACCACCCGACAAATGGCTTTTGATAATATTAACGTCATTAACACGTAACATTTTCCATTATCATTGGATAAAACAAAATGGCAAAGACACATCTATTCATTGTATTGTGATGGTATCGGACAGACAATTTTCTGTTATTAAATGTAATTATGATTTTCATCTGGAATGAATTTTGAACGTTCATTTTAATTGCATGATTTGATTTAATATCAAAATAAATGGCATTTAATGGTATCAACACAAGTATAAAAACCTGCACATTTAAATGAACTTGGATTGAAATTAAAAAAAAAAAACACAAGGAGACCAATAAAACCCCAAGTCTAAGAAGAGCAGACGACAATATGACTAAAATAAAAATGATAAACACCAGTCTACAAGCTTGAAATGCACAAACTTTAATGAATCTCTTATCCTTTTGTTTGGTGTGGTACTCTAAAGAAAATATATCTATCTATTCCTGGTCACGAGTACATTTAAGAACACGTTTTTCAATAAATTGTTACTAGCAAAACGGACAAGAATCACATGTGCAGGGAGCGACGGAAGGATTTGGATGGCAATGGGGTGAAACATGTTTCATCCACCATTTCACTGTGGATAATCCGATAACTTTTTGGAAATCCTATTTACGCCAATGTGTTCCGGAATATTGAATACAATTTAAACTTCTATTCAAGGATTCTTACATTTATTTCCCTGTTTCACTTAACTTGCTGTTTTTGTTATGTTGAATAGATGGTATTTTTTGCTAATAAAGCCAGATGTCTAGATGATCGTATTTCGCGAATTGCCTTTCAACATTTTAAGACTTGTAATATATCTGCTGGTTCATACGATAGCTACACTTAAAAGGAATTTACCTTGCATTTTCTGCCATCCAATGTTGTTTCGTCGAACTCTTCTCCAAGTTTGAATTTAAGATGAGCATTCTTAAATGTAGACGTTATTAGGAGTTCCCATAAATCATCGGTCTGTTTGATTTCTTCGCAGCTAGTTATACTGTTTCCTACTTTTCGAAGTATTATATTGACACCTGTAAAATTCAATGAAGAACAGCCAAAAGGTTACATAACATGCATGCATTATTGACCTCATTGACCCGAAAGGTTTGCATAGTTTAAAATCATTGTCAAAGAGTATAGGAAAACCCATGTTACTTTTCAAACGTATAAGTTTTGACTGTTGACTGTAGGAAATTTTTTTAGTGAATTAGGCGAGCAACTCATGACTATTAAAACGGATAAGGTTTCACTTTTCAAAGACCATACGTATAAAAAATTTATAGTAAGTAAAGTTTCCGTTATTATATTGGTATACAAATATACTATTATACGGACCATAGTATTAAAAATGTTATACAATTGAGAATGGAAACGGGGAATGTGTCAAAGAGACAACAACCAGACCAAAGAGCAGAAAAACATTATACCATTGAACATTCGATGGTTAATTATTAGTATTCACGTTAACTTTCTGTTACTATTGAACAATTAGTATCCACGTTAACTTTCTGTTACTATTGAACAATTAGTATTCACGTTTATTTCTGTTACTATTGAACAATTAGTATTCACGTTAACTTTCTGTTACTATTGAACATTCGATGGTTGATTATTAGTATTCACGTTAACTTTCTGTTACTATTGAACAATTAGTATTCATGTTAACTTTCTGTTACTATTGAACATTCAATGGTTATTTATTGGTATTTACGTTAACTTTCTGTTTAACTACATTTTGTCATACCGATTATTGCCGGCTATATTTTATATAGCTTAGTTGGCCAAATGGATAAAGTATAGGATGCCCAAATAGCCAGAGTGTAAATTCCCCTAAGGAACGATAGATTAAGTGCAAAAAATGCAATTCTAACATTATTGGACTCAATTGAAGACATTATATGTATTTATTTATGTAGATATTATATAAAAAAAACTGTATCGAATATTTTTCATATCGGTTACATACCCATAGTTTTCATATAGTCATCCCATTTGTTGTCACTGCTGTAAAGCTTCCAATGCCCTAAAAGTTTCGTCATACCTAGAATTTAGGAAGAATTATGCAGTTAAGTGAATTGACCTTGGATATGATTTTGTATGCTGCAGCTTCAAAAATAAATAAAAAAATGTGATGTTTTTGTTTTCATGTCAACACATTCTTTCAGCAAGCTGTTTGTGTTATGCTATATTTTTACTAACAGTATGCACTCAAAATAATTGTGATCACTTGTGTGTTTTAGCAAGTTAATCTTGTGCCTGGAAAGGTAAGCGCAACACTGATAAAGCATGTCTGACTGTAAGACCGCATGCGCGGAACTAACATTGTTTTCTGCTACCTACACGAATATTTAATAAATTGTGTGAATTCACCGATCTTAACCTCTTTTGATTTAAATTTTCCTCGATTTTTTTCTATTGTTTTTATATCTATGATTTAAATATTATTATTAAAAATCGCCTTGTTATGAGTGTCCCTTTTAAACATACTTGAATAACAAAAAAGTCGAACACTAATAAAACAAGCTTTCATATTTACTGACATGTTTTCCGTACTATGAATGAACGATAGTGTCCAACTTAATGCTTTTTTAGCGATCATTCAGCTATATATAAACTCTTACCTTCAGTCTAACGTAATGGAATGATTTTTATCAAAAAATCCTTGAGACGTTTTCAACAATTTTATAACTGTAAATATATGCACACCCTTTAGACTTACTTATCTAATCAACCTCTCATTAATTTTACAATTCAAGTTCATACTTACATTCGATTTATCATCAATCTTGAACTTTGATTATTTATAACCAATAGTTTTACAGTGTAGTTCATGTTTATTTCTCGTGTATTTTTAAATGTGAATGAGAAGTTTGAAAGTTGTATGATCTATATTTTGGTGAGGTATTGTTAAGGGAATCTCATATTACACAGTACTTAGTCGAAATCCAATACTTGAAAGAGTGTACAAGACACCCGAGGGAAAATTTCCAGTTTTTTTATCTGGCTTGTCGGAATTTTTGGTTAATTACGGACGAGTTTTTTTATTGCCAATGGAGACTTAGATACTTAATCGATTGTGACTGAGATTTTAATACTTGCATTTTCGGCGATGTTTGATTTTCTTACTCAACTGTCCAATTTACAACGCTCACAAAAAGTTACGAACACTTTTTAAAGATCAGCCACGAGATTAAGTGAGACAGGACAAGGACTATCTGTCTATAACAACCATGCAAAAAGCTATTAAAAAAAAACAGTCTGAGAACCACAATACAGCTTACAGAGTCTAGAACGAGGCGGAGACAATTATTAATATTAATATTCATAAATTTTTGCTTGTTCTTATATATTGTTTGGAATTAGTCAGTGGTTGATCAATGATTTTGCTAAAGGGGTCCCACCTTCTTATGTCGGTAAAAGTGAAATGTGTATTCATATAATTTTATTTTTATTATGTATTAACAATATGTGCTTCATCATAAAGGGTGAGTCCTATCTAATATTTTTAAATCATGACTGCTCCCAATCACATTGGCGGATTTAGAAAGGACTGACAAGGATAATAGTCTTTGTTTAGACTACTGTCAATGTAATGAGTGCACGGTCAAGACATCATGTACAATGCCCTGATGTAATGTTTAAATATGTGCATATTATGTAAATGTTCGATTTTATCAGTTTCCAATTAAAATATCGATTACAGTATTTGCATTGTACGTATAAGTCACAGATTTAAGTCATGGACGTAAAATGACCATGCCGTTTTGTATGAAATGCTATTTATATGTTTGTGTTAACTTTTATGTAAACTCGACCCATTCCAATAACTTTTGTGCACTGATGACAACAGGACAAATGGAATTGGATTTTTCTTTCTCCTGACAAGTCTGGGTCTTGATAATTTTTCTCCTCTTGGTCGACGGGACGGCCGCTCCGGCCAGCCTTTCCCCGGCTAACTCTAAAAACGAAGTATAATATTTCATAATGCCAATAAGACAATAATTACTTGAAATATATTAGAAAGGTTAAAGTCGTTGTATAATCTTCACCAGAATACAAGGAAGTCAGAACGGCTGTTGACAAAGCTTGCTGTTCTGTTTAAACCCAAATGGTTGAGGTGCTCTTAATTTTTTTTATAATTGGCCCCCAACCTTTAGGTCTCGAGTGTATATCTTATGAAGCGCACTGAAATCGGTATCATGTGTGTATGTTAATTCAAGCCAAAGAATGTCCTAGTTGAAGCGTTAACAAAATGAGTCAAAAGTAGTAATAAATGTGGCAAATTCGTTACAAAAAATATATAACTTAAAGGAAAAACGACACGGAGAACTCAAACTTCAACTGCTAATCCATTGATGCCGTATGTCTTCCGACTAAATTTTCGTCATCTTTTGTATTGCAGTTAGATCTGAGTTCTTTACAAAAATATTTGCTAAATTCAATTCAATACATCGACAATCAAGGTATCTTGAATTCACTGATGTGTGTCTGACGATATCTATGATAATTGACCTTCAAACTCCTCCGTTTCACGTATACATGTGCCAATTACACCCAAAAAGAAAGAAGGGGGAAAAAGACACACAAATATACAACGGAGAAAATGTTCGGGAGAAAAGAAAAAGTAAAGGGAAAATTCATAGTCAATGGACCATGACGGAGGAGGGGGGCCCATACCCCATAACCTTCATGGGAATCAGAGGTGTTAATGGCAGTACGCCTACCTTCTAAATATCATTGACGTTCCGTTAGCGGTTATCCTTAAACTGACTTTAACCCTGACGTCGACACCGGAAACAAGAGCACTAAAATATCGCCCTCGCGACTTCGTCAACGCTAGACAAAAACGAGAGGAAGTTACATGTCATAGAACCTAACCGAATGTTGACATATATAGAAGTAATGGTATAGATAAGTGTGTTGTGGTATATATTTTTTTACCTATTTGCACTGATGCATTATTTAAAGGCAACTCTTTGTAAATGTTGGCAACCCGTACTTAATTACATTCGTTCGTGTATGTATGACGTCATGGGATCTATAATAAAACGGCACTAACCTATAGTTAGGGTTTTTTAATGTGTGATGTTATTCTATAAATACGGACAAGAGAGATGAAATAGATTAAGACTCCAAATAGTAATTAATTTCTATAACGCAGAAAAGATATAACATAGAACATGTTTTAAATGTAGAAAACAAAGTGATTTGAGTCGTTAACAAAAATTATATTAACCTTAAAGGAAGTAGAAAAACAAACGTGCATCAATTGTAGTATGTTACAGCAAAGACATGCGAGAAAGCAATTTCACTGTTGACAAAGCAGAACTAGATAAAACGTTGTTCAAAGATAAAAAAAAAATCTCGTTCTTAATTATAATTAATGTTCTTGTTAACAACCAATAATTATATTATCAAAAGAAACACTTTGTCAGCGGAAGTGAAACTGACAATTATGGCAGGTTGTCACGATAAACATGTATATTTTAGTTCTTTGACAGGTGCTTCAGAGATAATTATTGATTACAAAAAGGTTTATTCCTTTTATAGATCAGCATCTGTTCAGCAATTTCCATGGAAACGGATAATGATCAAATCATAATCCAGAAATTCAAACAATTCTATTTGATTTGAATGAACGCGTTTATTAATGTATTGTTGGAATGTCATTGCTTTATTAATAATTCATCTAGGAAATTATGATTACTTACTTTAATATATATCTGTTTTGTTCCAGTAATTATATTATGAATATGTGAATCCTATACTATAGGTTAAAATACTATAATGTTCATATATCTTTTCGACAATATTGATAACATTGCTCGGCACAATTGATAAAACTGTCTCTTATTTTAAATTCTGTAGAAATTATACCAACAACCTAATCCAACGCCATTGGAAAATGCAACACAATTATACAGAAGTCAGCTAGCTGCTAGTTTACGTGCTTTCAAACCGAAAGAGTGGCCACCTTTGAATTCACAGGAGTTAGAAACGTCGTACCTTAGGTGCAAACCAATTAACTGCCAAAACGACAGGTAAGAATACGCATTTTTTTTTGTCGAAAAATATTAGGGTGTTATCATTATTTATAAATTTTGCATTATGATTGATTGAATGTACATCTAATTGCAAATGCATATCCAGGGCGATTGCATGTTAAACAGTAAACCAGTATTCGTCTGTATGTTTTGCAAGTTGAAATTTGGACTGCAATTGTCAAAAAAGAATACTTATTGTGACTAGGGATCTACATTTTGCCTTGTAATAGGTCACATATGGACCCCTCAAACACACACCCAAAGAGGTAGGCTCACAACATAAGGCACTGAATTCAACGTTCCTAATCCGACTTGACGTTTATGCGTATCTATACACCCAACACAGCCAAATGTACGCATACCAAAGTGTGCTTTATTTGTCGTCTGTTGATATAAAATATAAATGACCACTTCGATGGCATTAGAAAATAAAAGGTTGAGAGAACGAAACGTTGTTAGATATCTGACCACGTCAAGGGCATTTAAAATATACAGCAGAAAGAACGAAATTTTGCATAACGCATAAACCAGTACGAGGAAAGAACATTGGTTGATTGTTGATGCTTATCGTCTAATGGGAAATATTTCATGCATGTCCAGGACGAAATAATAACATGAATTAAAATATAGCACAGAAAGTATAACGTATTCAAAAGAGTATGAGAGTTGTTCCACAGAGACAGTTGTCGGGAATTGAATTTTAAAATTTAAATTTAAGATGAAAAGATTGAGGTACTAGTTGATTTTACAAATGATATGCCGGTACATGAATGCTCAGTACTTAATACTGCTAAAAATAAACTAATGTGTATAAATATTTGTGCATCATTGTTGCACTGCATTGGTCATGCAATTTTAATTCCATTCTCATTTTCAACACAATCATATACAATGATATATGTAATGTAATATACAATATGGATGTATAGTCTATGTTATAGAAAACGTCAATCGATACATGTACATATATTTATGTCATACATTGATATTACCACAATAGTCCCAGATGGCTAATTATCGCCTGTCTAGTGAAGTGTATAATCAGATACTGAATACCTTCATTATTTTATTATGATATAAGCATACATGTACGTAAGCTACAAATTGAAGTGCACACGACGTGTTCCTAGAATAACGTCTAATAGGTGTTATACAAACGAAAAGTTTTATGTAGACAAATGAATAAAGCATATCAATCCAGCTTCAATCACATTAATCATCAAATAGTTTGAAGGGCAACTTAATATGAAAGACTTTTTTCAAACATTAGTCATTAATTACAAGTTAATAATATGCAATCAATATAAATAGAGGAAGAAATACATATCGGGGCAATAAAAACCATATGTCTGAAAAACTGTGAAATACAATGGGCAAAATCGATGAAAAGACAAACAGATAAATGTACAAAACACTAATTTAGCCACACATATCCCAACAAAAACATACATGGAGTGAAGCCAGATCTTATTGAGGGTGAACAGTTCCTGCTCCGGCAGTGGTACACTTTGGGTTGCTCATGGCAAGTAAAAACCTTTATTTATGCATTTACCGAAGCACTGACTATGAATTGAAAGAAATCAGCGGGGTTTAACAGCACAAAAACAACGACACTAACCGATTATTAAATCAACGCCCAATGATATAAAAACAGTTGTTTCTTTTATTAAAGAGTCATTAGAACTGAGGAAAGGAGACCAATAACTGTTTTAAACATTATCTTATTATTGCTGAGTTTTTTCTTATGTTTGTTTTGCAATAAAGAATTATCATTCAAGACAAAGGATCCACTTATCAGTCATTGCAAAGTATCATTTAGTTTTTGATAAATAGAAAGGTATACGGCATAGATGTACACGAAACAACGATCTTTTAGAAAATCAATGTTATAATAAATGTATAAATAGAAGCGTGTGATAAGTGACGAACTTCGTCTTTTTAAACCATTGCTGTACGGTTTTCAGCGATTAGCTACAAACGAACAATCACAGAGCACTATTACAAAAGAAATGTGTTTTGAAATAAGCAGTCAATACAGCTAGTTTCGATGATTGCGTCACAGCTGTAACTTGAAGTATGAGGAATCTGTATAAATATCCGAGACATTAATCTCACGCGCAAACATGTATAATCATATGAGACATTAATCTCACGAGCAAACATGTATAATCATATGAGACATCATCAATCAGTGAATTTGAAAAAAACGAGACACGCACGTTTGAAACGCGGAACATCGATAGCAACAATTGCTTTGGGGGTCTCCTTGGGTTTTTTTTATTTACATCTCTGAGGGAACTATAACTTTAAAGATTACGTGATTGTTATGTTCTCAATTGTTTGTAGTCATGCGATCTTTGTGTTTCTTTATGAATTCCATGTATTATTTTGTTGTTGTTAAGACAACGAATCCCTCTATTTACGGTTCCTGCTTTTAAACCTAAAAAGAAAAAGAAAAAAGACCCCAATTTTACACGCGTGTCCATAAACCTACAATATTCTCGTCATCTAACTGTTTGTTTGTCTTATTTGAAGATCTTACATTACGAAAAAATGCAAACACTTATTTCAGCTATTTATTGACAAAATGTGTTTATTTTCGCAGATTGATTAAACTATTAGACTCTTTGCCGTTATTAGTACATTTGTAAGTTAATGTTTTTCTGCAATATCAGAGAACTTCATGCACCGGTATAGGAAATGGGTTTACACTGCCATAGTGGCTTCATCAAAACAAATCATTTGGTTGCACTTCATGGCATCCCCAGACAAGCACCAAGGAAACACTGTATGGTTTTTGTGCTGGTCATGATGGGGCATATTCTATATTTAGATGACACTGCGTTCAATAGTAGTTATTGCAAGAGACCTTTATTTTTAAATTATTGTAACACGGAAAAAAGTGTTTTGTCTCAATGACATTTTGATTTAAATCGACCGAAAGTAATCTAAAGTAATTTATTTTATTGTTACCTCTATAGAGAATTTGAGAAAATTTTCAACATAGATGCAAAATAACTTTCTATATTGTAACTTTTCAGTCATTCTTCTCCGCCGACCAGATGTTCTGCAAGATCAAGACCAAAATCTGTTCCGCCATCTGCGTTTAGAAATAGATCACAGCCTAAACGATCGGATACCCCTACTGATGTCAGACCTGGGAATTTTGATTCCTTAAACCCACGAGTTTTATCGCATTTACTTAATGATACGTTGACTACGTCTTCTTATGGAGAAATTGCAGCAAGTATAAATCAGAATGGTGATGAAATTTCATCGAAAACTAAGGACACTAAAGATGACGACGTAAGTACAAGTGGGATTGAAAGCAACCCGACAGACGACACGAGCAGCAGTGATGACGAAGACGATAGTGATTTTGAACCGGAAGTAGATGAAAATCGATTAGCACCGGAACTGTATCTTAGACCGGAGAAACTGGATTCATTATTATTGCCAGATTCTGCAAAGGGCTGGAGAAAATTCGATTTTGATGCAGACAATGTAAATATTCCATTTTATGGATTTTCCAATCCGTTACCCGATTCGTTTCGTGACTTAGACTTGCGACAGATAGCTCGTTTAAAATGGAATTGGCGAGATCAAACTCGACATAGGTCACGCGAGAAAGGAGTTGATGACATTCTTGACAGAATGGTGGAGCTAGAACGTCTTCAGATGGAAACTGAAGACTGGGAACAAAAACGGTCTGCACAAATCAATAAAAGATATTCCAAGAGGGCAATGAGTGCAAAAGTTCCTCGTGATAAACGATGTTGCGGTAAATGTTTACAACCTGCATGTACTGGTGATTGTCCAGAAAAGTTCGTGCAATCTGAAATATGTGAGCTTTGTCGGCAGCCTTTTTGTGTGAAAACTTGTGCGGACACAAAATATGAACAACGCATGCGACAATCCCGAATGGACGAAAAACTTCCTGTGCCTAAGACCCCAACTCCAAAATATTGTAAAAGTTGTCAGACAAAACACAACGCTAAAATGGTAAATGCAAATAACATTGTTTTAGGCAGACCTAAATCATGTAATAGTACGTATAGTCGTGGTCAAGCTAGTAACAAACCAAAAGACTATCGACCTCGTTCTGACACCCCGGTATCTATAGACATGTTTCAGGAATTCGATAAACTTGGAATTGATGCGCAACAACCAGTTCGCCCAACAACAGCGAAAGTGCAACGACCGAGGAGCAGAAACTCTTCGTTTCCTAGCAAATCTTTTTACTCTCAAAGAAGAGACTCGTTGACTGAAGCTGACAAACATAGATTCAAAAAGAAATCGCAGAAAAATAGTAAAGTGTTGGTTCGACGACCAAAAACAGCAGTGTAGTTACTGATATAGTTGAAAATAATATGTGTTTAAACTGTTAGATCTTTATAGTTAGTTAATAAGATATATTTAGTGAAAACATAATCACTGTTTTAAACATTTTGCACATCCTCAGTAAAAAGGGGTAACAAAAAAAATCACAAAAACAAGAACAACACCCCTCCCCCTTTTCCCCAAAAAAATATTGGTACTTGCATTAAATTGCCCTTTTCACGTGTACAAATCTTACTAGTGTTTACCTGTTGCGCCTTGTGTATGTTGGGATGTGAACAACATCTTTTGGTTATCCATCACATATTTGTACTAGAACATATAGTCTATGCAAATTTGGTCTACGTAACCAAATTAACGGGGCCCTGATTTACGCTCATGAGAACTGCAAATTAATTCATTAATCCAAGAAAATAGCAACAAATAAAATAAAAAAAGACAAAATCATATCATATAAAAATTAAGGAAATGAATATGACAATACATTCAAATTTAGGTAACATTTAGACAAATATTTATTAGGTAAAATTGAGATGCCATCTCATTTTATTTAAAGCTGCGTAAAACATACACTGTGAAGTCCTTAGTCGAAAAAGGTTCTTTTATGCGAGAAGAGAATCGAAATACACCAAAAGGACACACAAACCCGTAGTTGAAAATAAACTGACAACGCCATGGCAAAAAACGAAAATGACCAAAAGACAAACAACGGTATACCAAACACAACATAGAAAAATAAAGAGTTAGACTGAGCAATACGAACCCAACCAAAAACTGGGGTGTTCTCAGGTGCTCCGGAAGGGTAAGCAAATTCTGCTCCACATGTGGCATCCATCGTATTGCTCATTTAAGTACAAACCGTAATACAACGCAGTAGCGGATCCAGAACTTTTCATAAAGGGGGAGGGGGGGGGGCGCTCCAGTCATGCTTCAGTGATTCCCTATATAATCAACCAGCCCCCCCCCCCCCCCTGGATCCGCCTATGCGAAGTCTAATTCGGTAGGTCACATTCGAGGAAGAGAGGACGGGATTGTGGTTATTGTTTGTCGCTTTAATATTATTAGTTTTTAAAACTTCTCGATGAATCTTTGTATATTTTTCGACGCCTAGTATGCCAGTCCAAAATCTCCACAAACTTATTCCCAAAAACACAGTCTTCAGAAAACCCGTGGGTGAATAAAATATTCAGTATTTTAAATAGAAAATAACATTATTAAAAAAATAATCTTCATATTTTTGGTAAGAATTGTATCAGATCATTTGGTGATATGAAGACTTCTAACACTAACAATATTATATTGTTAGTGTTAAAACGTTGAACTTTTTTTAGGTGACATATGTAAAATTTTAACACAGCATATTAAAAGTGTGAAAAAAAATACACATTGCAATATGTATATACTGCTGGTATACATTGTTGAAGTAAGTGAAATAATATAAACAGAGTTCCTAAATGATCATGGTTTGATATTTTCTTGACTTTAGGCAGTTTAGACTTTGACTTGTTGTTTACTTGCTTAAAATGTTCAATGCATATGTCTAAACAGGAAGTATACTGAAACTTGGTAGAAAAAACCCGATAACCCGATAACACTCGCATGTCATATAAAATTAAGAAAAGGTGACAGGCAAAAGCATATGTCAACTATAACCATGACCAAAAGAAAAAAAGTTAAAAGAAAAACAAGTTGCAACGGTCTGCAAATTACTACAAAGAAACTACAGATTGAACAATACAAACAAGAGGCTCATGAGAGCCTGATATCTCTCACCTGTAATTTCAGTTTCAGGCATTTGACTTATTTGTAGATCTTACTTTGCTGAACAATTTTGTCATTTACACTTTCTCTCTTTCTATAATAACATTAAAGATAATACATACCCAAAACTGTAAAATTTCCTAAAAATTAACTATTTCTGGACAGTAACCCAACAATAAGTTGTCCTATTGGTCTGAAGATTACTTGACAGGTAGATCTAAACCTGTTTAACACTTTCACCCATGTCAGTTTTGCTTTTACTGCTTAGTTTTTGAGATGAAAGCCAAAAACTTCATTTGACCCCTATGTTCTATTTTTGGAAACTGCCGCCATGTTTTTGAATGGATCAAATCCCCGAATACAATCTATAAATTAGATACCCTAAGGAACATTCAATTAAAGTTTTTAAGTATTTGGCCAAGTAATTTCAGAGAAGAAGATTTTTGAAAAAGTAATAAGACTTTCACAAAAAATGTAAAAAAAAAACGTTTTAAGGGCAATAACTCCTTAAAGGGTCAATTGACTATTCTGATCATGTTGACTTATTTGTAGATCTTACTTAGCTGAATATTTATTGCCATTTATACTTTCTCTCTATCTATTATAATATAAAAGAAAATAACCAAAAACAGTAAAAATAAACTATTTCCAACAGTAACCAAACAATGTGTTGTCGAACTTGTCTGAAAATTTCATAACAGATAGATCATGACCCATTCATCACTTTAACTCCTTTCACTTTTGCTCTTAACTGCTGTAGTTTTTGAGATAGAAGCCAAAAACTGCTTTTGTCCCTTATGATCTATTTTTAGCCATGACAGCCATGTTTGTTGGTGGATCAAAACTTCGGATATAATTTATAAACTAGATACTCTAAGAAACATTCAGTTAAAGTTTGGAAGTATTTGGCCCATTAGTTTCAGAGAAGAAGATTTTTGAAAAAAGTAATAGACTTGCACGAAAAAATGTGAAAAATAAACGTTTCAAGGGCAATAACTCCTTAAGGAGTCAATTGACTATTTTGATCATTTGACTTATTTGTAGATCTTACTTAGCTGAACATTTTTGCCATTTACACTTTCTCTCTATCTATAATAATATTAAAGATAATAACCAAAAACAGTAAAATTTCATAAAAATAAACTATTTCGGACAGTAACCCTACAATGGGTGGTCCAATTGGTCTGAAAATTTCATAGCAGATAGATCTTGACTTATTTATCACTTTAACTTATGTCACTTTTGCTCTAACTACTATATTTTTTTTAGATAAAAGCCAAAAACTGCATTTTACCCCTATGTTCTATGTTGAGCCATGGTGGCCATGTTTGTTAATGGATCAAAACTTCTGATACAGTTTATAAACCAGTTACCCTAAGGAACATTCAGTTTAAGTTTAAAAGTATTAGGCCACGTAGTTTCAGAGGAGAAGATTTTTAAATGTTAGCAAACACGATGAACAAATTGTATAAAATTGTCTTTAAAGGGCAATAACTCCTTAAGGGGTCAACTGATAATTTTGGTAATTTTAATTTTTTTGTAGATCTTACTTTGCTGAACATTTTTACTGTTTACAGTTTATTTTTATCTTCAATAATATTCAAGATGATAACCAAAAACTGCAAAATTTCCTTAAAATTACCAATTTAGTGGCAGCAACCCAACAATGGGTTGTTCGGTTCGTCTGAAAATTTCAGGGCTGATAGATCTTGAACTATTGAACATTTTTACCCATGTCAGATTTACTCTAAATGCTTTAATTTTTGAGATATAAGCCAAAAATTGCATTTGACCCCTATGTTCTATTTTTAGCCATGGCGGCCATGTTTGTTGATGGATAAAAACTTCGGATACAATTTATAAACTAGATACCCTAAGGAACATTCAGTTTAAGTTTGAAGGTATTTGGCCTAGTAGTTTCAGAGGTGAAGATTCTTGAAATAGTTTACGACAACGACAGACGACGGACAACGACAGACGCCAAGTGATGGCATAAGCTCACATGGCCCTTTGGGCCAGGTGAGCTAACAATACCAATATACCGGTGGTGAACACGCGTACTTCGGACGGATGAACAGTACTTTCTTCACTAGTGCCAACAGTTATGTAAAAACCCGATGATAAGTCGCATTTATTTATTATATTTCTTTATAGATCATTGTTATGGTTGTCTCAATAGCAATACTACCACATCTCCTTAGTTTTATATAAGTATATGCATTTGATAAAAACAACACAGACTATTCCAGGATTTTGCCGCGTGAAATCGATAGAAGTTTGAAAATTAAAGAATACGAGTTAAACTTTATACTGATGTTAATAAACCATCAAAAACAAAATTATGAATTACAATTACAAAATGTACATAAAATTGTCTGTACAAAGTATATCCCGAGTCTTTTAACCGAATGGACAGGGAGACACGACTTCCCTTATGTCAGGATTTGGTTTCAAAATCAACACTTATTTTTAGATATATGATGTCTGATTCAGTATTTTTACAGACTATCAGGGTATCCTTACGGTTAAATAAATATTTTTTAGTTCTACCAAATAAATTTCAACAATTCGTAATCCACCATCTAATATGTGTGGAGTGGAAGTTTTAGTTCGACGTATTTGCATGTTATAAGTACCCAACTTAATAGAATAAGGGAACAGATTCTGGTGATCTAATTTCTTCTATTGTCAACGATGCCTTTCCTTTTACGTTTTACCATTTAAAAACACAAAGATAAAACAATGTCTTCAATATTAAACGAAATTTGATTGAGAAAAAAAAAAAAACTTGACAAAGACTTGGTTGCTATCATCCGTCACAAGCAAAATGGAAAACATATATAACCTTTTATTTTCATATACCTACCTGTAGTGTTTAAAGCGCTGTCTTTGAATAGCATTAATCACGGATACGGAAAGTCAACTATAGGCGAGGTTGTATACTGAGTGCAAATAGAAACTCAATGTTGCTTCAATTTAGAGTTGATTAATCGTTCTAAGATTTTGAATACTTCTGAGGATATGCATACAGAAAATTCAGAGCTTTTCTATTTTCAGATTTTAATGTTAGGAAACTCATGAAGTGTTGTGTATGAGAAAGTTGCAAGGAAACCTAAAAGCTTCAAAATATTGAGCTGTTTTTTTATGAAAATTAATCATGAATAGTTTGATACCTTTGTTTTAGTATTTGTTTATACCCATTAACTCAATAACGACCTAAAACACAGATCTTGTGATATACTTGAGAGTTTCTGAGCCATTTTCTGTCCTCCTTCCGAATGTTGTTCTGATGAACAAATTGCATAGTTCATGCATGCTTTTCTCCGGCTGTTTAAGTGTCTTTACACCAAATCAGTTGGATCCGTTGGGCGTGTACAGATTAGTGATTAGCCTGGGAAAACATGATTGGTTTGATACTTGCTATTGGCTTTGAATTAGATTTCATAAAATGCAACATGGACGGGTAGAACATTGATGTATGTCTTTGTCTTTTTGGTAGTTTTTTGTTTGTGCTTCTTGCCGATCTGATGAATCTAGTCCTTTCGTACTGATTTACTGTCCTAGGTTAAGTGGAGGATTGGGCGCTTACACTCATGTTTATCATGTTGTCGTTGGTTGTTGTCTGTCATATTTGTTTATTGTTTTGTCTTAATAAAAAAAAAAAATAGTTGAATTATTTAACATTGTCAATACGGTATGGGTTATGCTCATTGTTGAGCCATACGGTGGCCTCTAGTTTCTTACATGCACGTCATTTTAAATCTGGTGTAAAGTTGTCTCATGGGCAATCATATCACATCTCCTTATTTTTATATTGCTGAATAGTGTCCAAAAAGAGAATTTTCATTTTCTGACGTGCATCATATTTTTCTCATCTACACAACATGCTGTATATATATATATTACTACTGGTTTACATTTCTGACACATACCATATAGGTATAAGTGGAGGATTGAAACACTCACAAACCTTTTAAACACCGCCACTTTGTTTACTTGTTTGTCCCAAATCAGGAGACTGTAATTCAATGTTTTTCGTTATTTGACGTCTGGCTTTAAGTCATTTGTCTTTTCGTTTACTGGTTTAGCATAAATCAGGCCGTTGAATTTCACATTTGAATTGTTTCACATTTGGTCATTGCTGGACCGTTTATAGCTTAATATGCGGTATGGGTTTTCTAACTGTTGCAGGCAGTACACCTTTAGTTGCTTTCGTCCAAGCCCTTCAGTCTCTAGTGGATAGTTGTGCAATTTGAAATTATACCACATCTACTTTTTTTTCTTATAAATATATACAATGTCAGAGTAACTGACAGAAATTAATGTATTGTTGTGGGCAAAACTGAAATAGTTTTTTTTACCATATCTAGCTTGTTTTAGTATCTGCTTTATAAGTTTATTAAAGTTTAAACTTTTTTCTTAGATACTTCTTAACAGCATCCTTTTACATTCATTTCTTGTTTAATTTATCGAAGTTAAAATGTTGCTTTTTATCTACGATAAGACCAATGCGGTTGATTTCGTAGTGTTTTTTATTTAAATTTCCATATAATTTTAAAACTAATTGAAAAGGTAGATAATTCAAAGACTGAACTAGATATTTCCGTAAACACCAGTCACACGGATATGCTTATCATTTAGTGATGTGAAAATGTATTCATTATTTTTGTTGGTATAAACGCTTGACAATGTCTATTCAAAGAGTGCCATCTGTTGGACGGATCTTAGTCATCTTTGAAGAACATGATTATTGTTACCTTTTGGTATATAATTTGGTAAATTTTAGTTGTTGTGTTGCTGTCTCAATGGTAAAATATCCCATCTATTTTTACTTATAAATATATTCAAATTCTTTTTTCATTTAAATTCCATTTATAAAACTTTAAAAGCTTGTTTTCTTCCCGAATTTTTGTCCCCTCTTCGGAAATTGTTCTAGCCTACATTTATTCTTAATACAGGGACCAAAAACAACGGGAAACTTCTGATTTTATCTATTTATACTTATATTTAATACGTATGTGGCGTGTTCAGAAGTTAAATCACAGAAAATATTTATTTAGCACATATATAAAGCAAATTAGTAAATCAATAATTACATGTAATCGTACTTTGGATCTCATGAAAAAATGAAAAATGCGAAAAGAGATAACAAAAGCGTTTAATTGCAGCAAATGTGTAACCATTTCACAACATATAGTATACTGTTGTCGGTCAATTAAGATCAGGATCTATTATTCATTAAATTAGTTACTACGGCTACCACTATACCAACAACAATAACGCACAAAGCTAACACTACAGACAATGAACAAGGTATTGCACAAACAGTTTTCTGCGGCACTCGATACGCATGACTCAGACCCAGTAATTCTTTAAATGGCCCTACACGATCAGAATCCAATTTGTCAAACTCTTTATACATTCCTTTTAAATCCTGAAGCATGTTTCGAAAAGCGCTCTCAGCTTGAACAAATGTACCCATACTTAATCTGCTATAAAGATTCTTTTTCGACTTGTTACAACCAAAAGTACAATTAGGGAACATATCATGAACCCATGGATTTCCATAGAAAAAATGGGGAAGATTGCGATTGTCAATGCAAAATTCAAGAAATAGCAGAAAATATCCGAGTGCTTCTTTTACTCCGGACAGTGACTTGGTCTTTCTTGGAACAGTCAGTAGAGCAATACAATGAAAACATATGTTTTTCAAGTAGTACGAAACAGCAACTCGGTGTAATTGATTTGTGTTACGACGATTTGATTTCATCCACGCGACATAAGATTTTACAATACGACATGCGGTCATCAAATAACGTTGACTTGGATTTCTGCGTCCAACGTCATTGATATGTTTTTCATATCCACATGTAGATTCCCTCCAGAGATAATCATGATCAATTGTCTGATCAGATTCATGCAATCGGCGTGCCCATTTCATAACTGCATAAACTGCGCAAGTCATTTCCGTTTCGCCATAAGTGACCTGATTTACTGTATACGGATTGGGAACATAATCCTTACGCAACATCAATGCAGGAACAAAATCAATGTCTAGCGTTGGGAGATGTCCGTAATTTGTCTTAAACGATTGATTTCGACTTTCCAAAGTGACATTACTGTACAGATTGCGAACATATGATATTTCTCTGTCTAAACTTATACGTATCGGGAACGTCGGTGGACTAACAGACCGACGAAATGCATAAACAGTTCTATCATCGTACGGTAACTGCTCACATATTTGTTGGCGAGTTTTGTCCAGCAATGATTTGAAAACCTTTTCTTGTAAATTTTGTGTATTAATATAGTAAGTTGTATCATAAAAGCCTGTTTCTGTAAAAATATCATTGCAGTTCAACCATGGATAGTTTCTTAGCAAATATTCTGGGTTTTCAACGCGTAATTTTATAAGCTCGACCATTTGCTCTCCAGAATAATCGTAGACCGGACATTCTGTCCATCGCATGCCTTCTATTTCAAATTTAACTAAACAGTCAAACTCCAGGGCGTCATTTACTCTCAGTCCTTCTCTTGAACTTCCTTGTCTTACATAACCATGAACAATAAGTCCTGTAAATTCCTCCCTTGCATACTTTTTTAGCCCGAGCAGTACTGTATCAAGAACTGAATCGACTGCAGAGCAATGGACATCCCACTCGGAATCACTTATATTCATGCCTGCAAGATATCCTTCATGTAAAATTCGTCGCTTGAGATCATCTTCACCTGGGCCTACTGTAAAAACAGGATACCGCCACTGATTAAGCTGATCCCCAATCTTTTCGTTAGCTGCCATGTAAAAACCTGAAATAAAAGAAACGAAAAACCCATACTAAACGAACATCAGTAAAATGGAACTAGAAGATTAAATAGGATATTTACACACTCTTCAATATAATTATTACAAAGGGTTATTACATAAACTATCCTCCAGGTAATAACCAGAGGTCACAGGGTTGTCACTGTAGGCAAGATATATCATTTACCATTGATGTTGGCAATGACCAGACATCAGTGATTGTCGCTGTAGGCAATCACATTACATCACAGATTGTCGCGTAGGCAGTTACCAGATATTAGTGGCTGTCGCTGTGACTAATTATTAAACATAAGTCACTATCGTTGTCGCTGTATTCAATTACAAGACATAAGTGGTTATCGCAAAAAGCATTCACCATAAATCATTGGCTGTCACTGTAGGCAAATACTAGAAATAAGCGGTTGTCGCTGTAGGCAATCATTATGCAGGAGTTATCGTCGCTGTAGACACCAGAGGCTTTCGCTGTAGAAAATTAAAGACATTAGTGTCTGTCGCTGTAGGTAATCACTTTACTGTAAGCATTTACAGGACATCAGTCACCGAGTCTGGCGCTAAAGGCATTTCGCCGAGCACTTGTATGACCCAGCAAAAAAAAACGTTGTTTTTACGGACACTTATGTAATAAATAACATTATTTAACGGTACCAATGGTCGGTATTCAATGTAGTGAAGGAAGATCAAGTTCTTCGTCTTTGGTTGAAATTACAAAGGAACATGGAATGTTTCGTTTATTAAAATGATTCAGTCGGTCATAGTAATAAAAATCAAAATATACCAAATGTTAAATTGTTCATAACCCGATCCATGGCCGTCCTGAAATATTTCTTTGTTGAAGCTAGCAAAAAAAACTTATAAAATGCTTTTTCATTTATTTGATTGCTGTTTGATTGTTTATTGATCAATCTTGTTTACAAAATACGACTTCTGTTCCAAAAGTTGCATAAAGATTGAATGAAAGGGTATGCATAATGGTGTGCACGTAATATGCCTATTCAACGATATCTTTTGATGTTCCAGTATGTGAATAATAGGACAGTTACACATCAATCTTTTTAAGTTCCTGCTATATTTATCAAATTTGATAAAAATTCAGAAGAAAATTTTGTTGCCAGAGGAATTATCAAACCAACTATTAAAAGTAAAATTTTAATTAAAAATGAAGACATCCGTTTCAGTGACAATGTACTGCTTGGCCCTAAAATCAATATGTTTCAAAATATCTCAGATTTTCAGAATAAAGTGTTGGATGTATGTTTTTTCATAAAACAATGCTGATATGGTTTGAAGTATACCCTTTTCATTAGTTAGACAGCCATAAAAGGACAATAAATTCAGTAAAATTGAGAAACTATGCAAAAACTTCGCTATTTGACTTGTACAAGCATAGAAATAGTATAGAGCGCAAACGTAGCCCCATAGTCAAGGGTTGGCTAATATTCAAATCTTCTGAAAATCCTTTTTTCATCAAGTAAAACGTTTTATATTTGGTATATATTTGATATATTCACTGGACCAAATAAACCCCAAAATGTACCTTATCCTTTATATCATGTTTATTACAGTTTACTGAGGTCGTTCAAGCTTTTTAAAAAGCTAATATTTTTTTTCTACTTTCGATTTCGGTTTACTTAATTTGCTATTGAATTAAATGCAGTTGTAATATGATAACGTAGTATTGTTAGTTATAAGTTATTGAAATATTATGCAAACAATAGATTACTTACCTAGCTATAATATCTAATGTATCTTATGCATCTTTTCAGAGATTTCGAAGTGCAAATCATTTCTATAATGACGTGTAACAGAAACGACTCGAGCGCCATCTATTGATAAGCAAATTGAAGGTTAATATTATCTTTAAACATTCAGAAGCGGAGTAGGGGGGGGGGGGGGGGGGGGTAGGGTGCCCGGGTCCCCCCTTTTTGTGGGAAAATTTGGTCGATCATTTAGGAAATCACTGAAGCATGACTGGAGCGGGCCCCCTCTATGACAGTCAGTGCCCCGCCCCCCTCCCCCCCCCCCCCCCCCTTCCCCCCTTATGAAAATTTCTGGATCCGCCACTAACATTGATTGATTGTTGGTTATCTTTATACAGGTAAATCTTAATACGCACGTACAAGACGGGCATATTATGGTATATCATTGTCCGCCTGTCCGTCCGTCATATCATCATGATGATTTTTAAGTGACTGTGTTAAACTTTACACAATGGTATAAATGCAGGCAGATCCCTTTCGATTTGTACCATTCGAAAGTTCGGAGCACATTTCACGTTATATAACATGTTTAAAGATTGATCGTGTACTGCATCTTTTTTTTTTTTTAATATTTACACAACTGATTATTTGGTCCCATAAAGGCAAGGCCAATATCTAACGACTATTGTTTTGGTGTGCAATAATCGGCAAGATACATATGGTGTTGGAGTACTTATAATGCATAATGACATTATTTAGGGTACTGCGTGACTCTAGATTTTTCAAAGCAGTATGAATGAAGTACACCCTTTGCATAAAATTACACGTAGAACTTCCATCACAAATTTAAAAGTTTTGCACAAAATATCTCGCTTTAGTTTAACATTCGTTTCTCACTGTTTCAAGTTTATTTTATAATAAACAGAAGTCTGATCTACTTCTAAGTATCATTTCGATGTGAAAACTAGGTGGCGTCCTTTATCTTTATTTACTGCCTGTTAACCTATACCAGTTTGATGTGAATTTTTTTCACGATGTTTTGCATATTTACATTATTTTTCTGTTTAATGATTTTCAAAACTGTTGTTCCAGGATTATGGACATATTTGTCAAGATATAGACCTTTTTGTCTTGTCTTGTGCACCTCATTCCAACCAAACTGCCTAAAATAATATAACAATCACTTGTAATAGTTACTTCCGCATTGGAGTAACCCAGGCATGGGACTTTTATGGTCGAAATAATTTAGGGTGACGATCGTACCACGCGCTTAATATAGCTAGGATTGTTTTCATCATCAACGTGTACCAAAAGCGGATACATGATTTAAGGATTTTAGTAAATGGGAGTATTATCACAGGCACTTGTCTCTGAAAAAAAACCTTAAATACCATAATATTAAGGTATATACTTTAGGTATTTTTTCAGAGGCAAGTGCCTGTGAGTATTATACCTCTTATATAGTGGCGGATTCTGGATTTAAGGATTTAGACGAGTATGATACCCCCTAAAATACCAGGGGTCGATTCTGGATTCTGGATTTCAATCTTTTTAGTAAAGGGGAATATTTTACAAGGGATTGATACAAGTCATGAACATTTTGAGGGATTTAACTAGTTTTCTACATGGTTTTTCTATCATCTTCCTTTTAATAATTTCGATCAGATTTGATTATTGTTTTATTTTCGTCCAGTGGCAAACATTTGATAAATATTCAGGACGAGAACAAATTAATAGAAATTCGACGTATGTAGTTTTTTTTTAAATAAGGTCGACTGGGGTTCTGCCATCTCGAGGCGTTGGGTTTTATAGTATATTCTGACCGGATCTGACTGTGGGTTTTGAAAAAAATCATACATAGCCGAACGGACGCCTTGAATCAAAAAGTATATCTGAAAAAAAAACCACCAGATATATTTCATCAATAAATATCAACAACTGCAAGATAAGCTATTGATATTTTAAACAATATTGATTAGAAATTGTAAATAATATCATATATTTCATCTCAATTTTTGTTTAATTATACATTATGAAACACGAAAAAGAACGTCCTGGTGGCCTATTCCATGCAATGTCTCATATCTACAGTTCAACATATGTAGTGTGACCTTATACGACCATCCAACCACCTTTCCGTATTTTAAGGTTGATCCCTTTAAGGAGTTTCTGGTTATTTCAGTATGCCCTGCATAAAATACATCAAGTTGATCTTACCTTTTTTATAATAATAGTGCCTATCTTTCAATTTTTATCCTAAGAAATCATCCTCAAAATTTTGACACCTCTCCAAGGTGCATTAAGTATTTGTCCTTCCATTTCCATTCCTTGGGTTTGTGGCTTAGAAAAAGAGAGGCGAAAGATACCAAAGGGACATTCAAACTCATAAGTCGAAAATAAACTGACAACGCCATGGCTAAAAAAGAAAAGACAAACAGACAACCAGACAAACAACAGTACACAAAACACAACATAGAAAACTAAAAACTAAGCAACACAAACCCCATCAAAAACTGAGGCTGATCGCAGGTGCTCCGGAAGGGTAAGCAGATCCTACTCCACATATGTCACCCGTCCTGTTGCTCATGTTAGTACAAACCCGGTGTTAGAAAGTATATGTTTCCTAAATTATGGGCTTAACAACTCTTGTTTTGTTGTTCATGTTGAACGTTTCTTTTGCCAGTTTTATCAGATGTTTATAATAATAACCAAGCTCATCTGAAATTTATAGTGTTTTAAATTCAGAAACATAACATATTTAACAATCTAACCCGTTCTTCAAAACAAGACTACTTATATTATTAATAATATCGACTTTTTCGTTTCACTCTGAATGGAATTTAACAAAGTTGCATATACAAATTGATTCATCACTTGTAAACAGTTGCGTTCGCAGTCACTACCGAACTGACTGATAAACGGAATACCCATGTTACAATTGACAACGTTAAGTTCTTTTTGCAATAACAGCAGTCCGACAATTTTCTGAGCTTGCGAATTGTTGCCTGATTTCATCACAAATAAGCCAACAGCACGTGTTGGAGAACTCTCACAATTCTGTAACACCGTTATGTTTGTTCACATCGAATTTATATATACCACCATTTATTTTGGGCCAATATGCCCCCACTACGTGAAATAAGTTACTGATTCGTAGAGTGGAATTAAAAAGGATCGAATGATGCATGATGTCTCCATAACAATAGATCTATGAAGATTTCGGGATATAGAAATTCGCCTCCCAAAGTTTGGGGCAACAACTTTCATGATTTCTATATGAAATGCGCTCTGGCGTCGAACGGTCCAAACCAGACCTTAAAAGTAGTCAGACAACAGAGAATTTTTTTAATAACACCTGGATAGAAGCGTCTCTTTTAATGATTAGTAGTTATGTATCAAACTTTTATTAAGTATCTTATTAATATCTGACCATTCTATGATGTAAATACCCATTCTTCTAGCTATTAGAGCTTGTTTTCTTCCCGGCTAACAGTGGCGGATTCAAAAGGGGGCGTAGATGGCGTACGTCCCCCTTTAATTAGAAAATATATCATTTTTGAGCATGAAATCGTCCAAAAAATGTTCGTCTCGCTACGCTCGGCAATATTTATTTAGTGAAATGAGATTACGCCCCCCCTCCCCTCCCCTTTAAAATTCCTGGATCCGCCCGTGGCTTAAGATATTTTCATATCCTACAATTTATTTTAATACATGATCAAAACAACAGAACATTTTTAATTTCATCTATATATATGTAATAAGTATGTGGCGTCTTCAGAAGTGCATGACATGTAATTGGCGCAATTAACAGTTTGTCAGAAAATCTATATCAACAAATAATACACAAGATAACAATAAGTAAATGGTTTATCCCGTAGATTGAACAGAAATGCGAAAAGGGATGACAAAAGTGATTAAATGAAACGAATGTGTTACAATTTCACAATAAAGCATTGCTTGTGTATTAAGATAAGGACTTCTTTATGTCACGTGTTAGTAAAGCTACTAATATGCCAGAAACAATAACGCACAAGACAAACAGTACACACGTTGAAATAGCCTCAAAGATAGTTTTCTTTGGCACTCGATACTCATGCGTCAGACCAAGTAATTCTTTGAATGGCCCTACACGGTCAGAATCCAATGTGTCAAATTCTGTATACAATCCTTTTAAATCCTGCAGCATGTTTCGAAAAGCTCTTTCAGCATTCATGAATGTATTCTTACATATTCTTCTATATAGATTCTTTTTCGGCTTATTACTTCCAAATGTGCAATTAGGGAACATAACATGAACCCATGGATTTCCATAGAAAAAATGGGGAAGATTGCGATTTTGAATGCACAATTCAAGAAACTGCAGATAATATCCGAGTGCTTCTTTTACTCCGGACAGTGAATTGGTCTTGCTTGGAACAGTCAGTAGAGCAATACAATGAAAACATATGTTTTTTAAGAAGTACGAAACAGCTACACAATGTAACTGATATGTGTCTCGATGATTCAATTTTATCCACGTGACATACGATTTAACAATACGACATGCTGTCATCAAGTAACGTTGACTTGGATTTCTGCGTCCAACGTCATTGATATGTTTTTCATATCCACATGTAGATTCCCTCCAGATATAATCATGATCAATTGTCTGGTCAGATTCATGCAGTCTGTGTGTCCATTTCATCACTCCATAAACTGCGCAAGTCATTTCCTTATCGCCATTAACAATATTTACTGTATACGGATTTGGAACGTAGTCCGTACGCAATAGCAGTGCGGGAACAATATCAATGTCCAACGTTGGAAGCTTAAGATATTCCTTTTGGCCCGGGCGTTTGGCACCTTCACGTCCTATTCTAATGTACAAACCGCGAACATATGATATTTCCCGGTCTAAACTTATACGTATCGGGAACGATGGTGGTTTAACAGACCGTCGATATATATAAACAGTTCTATCTTCAAGTGGCAATCGCTCATAGATTTGTTCACGAGTTTTGTCCAGTAATGCATTGAAAACCTTTTCTTGTAAATTTTTTGTATTAATATAGCAATGTGTATCATTAAATCCTGTTTTTGTAAAAATCTTACAGCGTTTCAACCATGGATAGATTCTTAACAAATATTCTGGATTGTCGACGCGTAATTTAATAAACTCCGGCATTTGCTCTCCAGAATAATCGTAGATCGGGCATTCTGTCATTTGCATGCCTTCTATTTCAAATTTAACTAAACAGTCAAACTCTAAAGCGTCATTTACTTTCAAACCTTCTCTTGAACTTCCCTGCTTTATGTTACCATGAATAATTAATCCTTCATATTCCTTCCTCGCATACTTTTTAAATCCGAACAATATTTGATCAAGAACGGAATCAACCGTAGAGCAATGTTCATCCCAATCATAATCTGTTATATTTATGTTTTCAAGGTATATATTCTGTAAAATTCTTCGCTGGAGAGCTTCTTCATTTGGGCCAACAGTAAAAACAGGATACCTCCAAGCATTAAGTTGATCTGAAATCCTCTCATCAGCAGCCATTTAGAAAACTGAAATACATAAAAACCTTAATATAAGCAAACCAATAATTACTTAGATATGGCTAGACCTAGAGTGGCTATTAGCTGGGTCAAGTAAACATTCGTCCGTTACGCCCATTTATAACATAATTTTACAATGAACATTTAAACGCACGCCCCCACCCCAAAGTTTTCAATTAAGAGGATAGTATCTTTAATACTTCCCGATTCTCCTCTACTTCCATCCCACGTGTCCCATTCATTGCTCTTAAACACGTTTATGTTGGCCGCCGAACATTCGCGAATTATTTTCATATGTGAATATATCACTTTCACTTTTCGAAGGATCGAACACTTGAAAAGGGTCGATTTGAAAAAAAAAGATCGATTGTTTTAAACTACCTCTTGAGGTAGACTTTTCAGTGGTTGTCGTTTGTTGCTGTGTATCATATTTGTTTTTCGTTCATTATTTTCTACATAAATTAGGCCGTTAGTTTTCTCGTTTGAATTGTTTTACACTTGTCATTTCGGGGCCTTTTATAGCCGACTATGCGGTATGAGGTTTGCTCATTGTCGAAGGCCGTACGCTGACCTATAGTTGTTAATTTCTGTGTCATTTGGTCTCTTTAGGAGAATTGTCTCATTGGCAATCATACCACATCTTCTTATTTTTATATTTTAATTCTGATTGAGGACAGATCTTTCCCGTTTACATTAAATTTGACTTTTAATCTAATCGATCCCAGGAAATGTCGATATTTCACAAGTGCAAGCTACCGTAACGTCTAAGATTTTTTTTTTCAAGCCTGCAGACGATCATCGGTAAAATAAACAAACACCTGGATATGAATTTTCACTTGATACGGTCCACTAAGTTATAGAGTTTGAATGATATATTGAGCAGATATCTATTGTCCATCTATTGTCCATGTAAATCAATACAGTTCACCACACTTACTACATGTATGAGGGGAATTTCTCAAACATATATCCGAACTTCGTTTCTTTCGCACCAATGTGTACATTTTGTAGTAACGGAAAAAAAATACACGTCAAAATCAAATAAAGGTTCTAATTATCTGGAACATAAAATTCATTTAATCTTTTTTTTTTATCTAGATCTAGATCCTTAAAACTTTTCCATGTGCACAGTTATTTTTTGTCCGTACTCGGTTAATTTTGCGTTGTAAATAAAATTCATATTCTGTCAATACCTTAGCGAATTATTCTGTAATATTATTTCCAATGAAACAAATATTACAGTATGTGTTCCTTACGGAATAAAGAGTATAGAATATGTGTTCCAACATGAGTAGATAATATGGCATTGTTTAAAACAAAGTTTCCAGGGGAATTTCTGTTAGGCCGAACAAATATGCGTTGACAAGCTTATGATGAACATTAAGAAATTTCAAAGTGCAATCATATCAAAAAAGCTAAAAAATAAATAAGGTAGACATGCCATTTTCAAAATACATATCAAGAGGAAACCTGACCATTCAACACAATTAAATTGTAGTACTAGTTCATTACATTTAATGAAAATTGAGATTTTGTGGCAACTCCAGACAATATTTTCACAGTCAAAATTCTTTTTACACGATTTTTCGCTATTACATTTTGGAAATAGATTATTCACTTGTTTGTCAACAACAAAATAATGATCACAAGTCGAACGCACCCTGAGAGTTGTTACAGTACTTACTATCTGTAATTGTTTATAATTAATATATATTAAAAAAAAATGCCATAAAGTTCATTTAATTTAGTAGTATTGCATGCAGTTATGTTGTCTGTTTTTCACAGTTGAGAGGACAGTCCCCAATGGGAATGGCGGCGGATTTTGTATATTGCCACAGTCATGTTTAGCAATGATACAACAAAGGGTACATCTTATCTAATTTCTTTCGAATTGTAAACAATTGTAAAATGATAATGTGGCATTGTTAAAAAGGCTATAATTATAAATTTACGCGAAGAAATCTTATTGAGATTACTTACCTAATATCTGTTTAGGAATATCGAAGTTCGAATCGTAACTGTTTATATACTAAGTCTTATAACATATACGGATACGACTCGAGCGCCACCTATATTTTTTAGTAAATGAAATGTTAACACTTATTGACCCATGACATTCTGCATAAATAAAGGAGCGAGTTTTCCGAATTTTCAGCAAAACGGATGGCTCAATCGGCACTGACTGCCCTAAGAGGGGGCCCTCTCCAGTCGTGCTTCAGTGATTCCCTATATAATCAACCAAATTTTTCCCACAAAAGGGGGGGGGGGGCCCGCTCCCACCTGGATCCGCCTATGAAATCTAACATGTTGTCTTTTCATTTGCACAATCATTCCCGATTTTTTTAGGGGGGAGGGGGTCGTGTTACTCAGTCTTATTTTTATATGTATTGTTTTGTAGACTGGTAATCGTCATTTTTGGAGTTGCGAGTTACGAATGTCGAGTTGCGAGTTATGAAGGTCGAGTTTCGAGTTACGAATGTCGAGTTGCGAGTTACGAATGTCGAGTTGCGAGTTACGAATGTCGAGTTGCGAGTTAAGAAAGGCGAGTTGCGAGTTACGAATGTCGAGTTGCGAGTTAAGAAAGTCGAGTTGCGAGTTACGAATGTCGAATTGCGAGTAAAGAAAGTCGAGTTGCGAGTTACGAATGTCGAGTTGCAAGTTAAGAAAGTCGAGTTGCGAGTTACGAAAGTCGAGTTGCGAGTTACGAATGTCGAGTTGCGAGTAAAAAAAGTCGAGTTGCGAGTTACGAATGTCGAGTTGCGAGTTAAGAAAGTCGAGTTGCGAGTTACGAAAGTCGAGTTGCGAGTTACGAATGTCGAGTTGCGAGTTACGAATGTCGAGTTGCGAGTTACAAAATTATTATGTTTCTCTAATTTCTTAAGAATTATATATATAAACGGTCGTGTCGTCTGATTTTTTAAACAGAATTTTCAGGTTTGCTTCGCATTTAATAAACAAAGCATACATGTACCCGAACTTTGTTATACACTGCATGAGGAAGGGTCCCGGTATTTTGACTGCAGGATTTGAAAGAGTTATGTGATACTTATTCACAAGAGTCTATATGTTGCAAAGTCAGGCACGCTTAAATTTCTTTCATGAGAGCGACATTGTTCATTTTTTAAAATAAAACAGGATATACTGTTAGATATAAGACAAAATGTATACCGTACTGAACAAATCAAGCATAAGAAATAAATCAAGTTGACCAATGAAATATACTTGCAAATTATCGACATCTCACAAAATATGTCACTGTGTTAGCCCCAAAGTAAATACTTATCAAAGGTACCAGGCTTATAATATTTTCTACGCAAGACGCGCGTTTCGTCTATACAAGACTCATCATATTCATTAGCATACCAAGTGCTAACTTTTCGTCTTTCGCAAAGGTTTAGGGTGATATAGGCACAATTGCACATTTAACTTAGGAAAATATCTCATGAATTAGTCAGAAATGTGATATGCTATGTGCTTTATGTGATAAATTAAATAATTTTGACCTTTGTTAACTTTTTGATTCAACCCCAAGCAGAGAGTGAACATATATACCAAATAGTTAACAATCGAGTTGTTCAATGTATACATATATCTGAATACTACAACGCAAAAATAAGCATGTTATAGATGTCTTTCTATGGCATTATGGTAACTTCCTGGCATAGGAGATCATAATATGATTTTTTTTAATTTGGAAAGACGTTATTCTACAATAAGCTATACCGCTGTGACAAAAAATAAAGGAAGAGTTTTCAGGAATGTTATTGCGTGTGTTTTTACGGTATGAGCACGGAAGCCTTGTCTGTCACAAGTTTACTTTTTTACCTGCATGCAGCCTTGATACAAATGTTGTAGTTTTAGATATCAGCTGGATATTGTACATGTTTCTAAAAAAAATGTGCTTCCTCTTCATTTTATCATCATGCATAGCCTGTCACGAGAGCACCTGAAATTTTTTTTAACCGGGTAAGTATGGCATCAAGTTGTACTTTCAGGCATCTGCCATCCATATTTTGGAGAGGCGTAGGGTTTGTTTTTTAAGAATTGTTAAATTGTTTGATTCTGAATTCCTTGAGAAAAAACATTTAATTGAAGACATATAAAATTGCATATAACGTATACACAGCGATACATGGAAAATCATTTTAAAAACTAAGATTAGGACAAGAAATAAAATATCGTATAGGCGATAATAATAGTGGGTTTTGCTAAGATTGGTTCATGGACACGATTATTTATAAAATTTTATACACACAATTCAAACTTTATGTAATCAATTTCCCATCTACTGCACAATGAGTTTCGTGTAAAAAACATTAAAAAGAGTTATATTTGTCAGCATGTTATTCCTAAATTAACTTGATTGATTTGTGTATGATTAACCCTTTTTTTTTTAGAAAGAAGTTACATATTCCAAAACTGCGTCTTTTGTCTCTTTTACAAAAGTATCTTTGACAGCTACATGTATAGAATAAAGAATGGAAACGGGGAATGTGTCAACGAGACAACAACCCAACCAAAATATACAAGTCAACCCAAGGCCACCCATGGGTCTTCAACACAGCGAGAAATCCCACACCAAGAGGCAGCCCCGAGCAGGCCCCGAAACACAATGTGATTTTCGGATCCTTATGTCGGAATCTTGTTCTGATAAATACACATATACCAGAGTTGTTGACAGTTAGTGTTGTATTCTCTATACCGTACAAAATTGTTCATACAATGCTTATATATACCACATTCAGATTACCTTTAGTACCTGCTTTATACTGCTTCATAATTTGTTAAAGTTTCAATATTGGTTTTTGTCTTCGGCAATACCGACTCCGTGTAATTAATTTTTGTGGGTTTTTTTTTTGTATTTTGATACCACTTTTTCAACAAATCGAAAAGACGAAATATTCGAATAGCCAGATAAAAACAATCACATGATTAACTTTATAATTTTGTTTTGTTGATCTTTGTTGGTATCATTCACACTAAGTCTTGTCTTTTTAAAGTGTGTCATA